AGCTCTTGTTGATCAGCAGCTCTGGCAGTGGCACTGGCAGTTCGGTGTCAGTGAACAGCAGTGTGTTTGCTGCAGCATTTGAAGTCCTCTTTCAGTGGAGTCGGGAGGGCCAGGTGGGGACCTGTTGCAAACAAGCGCCCAATCGATAAGTTTTTTCGAGGCATCTTCTGATATCTCAGCTTGCTTGCCAGGGTCCCTGATTGTATACTTTGCGCATTCTTAAAGATTAGGAGCGTTGTTACATCAGCTCCAAGCAGATGGCCGGAAGCAGTGCAGCTTTGGGCACCAGTTCGACTTGCCTTATGTCGTTTCAGCACAACACTTTATCGAGTCCAAGTAAAAGCACAAGTACCGCACCAGTCTTTGCATGCGGCCATTGCTGGCGTACATCAAGCAGCTTTACAGGACAGAGAGGGGCATTACGGTGCTTACAAACACTTAGAAACACAGCAATTCAGCAGTGGCGAAGCAGCCACAGAGACTCGTTAAGTCGCCACCATCGACCCCCAATTCTTGAACATAAGCTGTCCTGCAGCTGCAGTCAAGCAGGTGAAGATAGGCCATCAGAATCAAAGCATGATGATGGCGAACACTTTGAAAGCGCAGGCGCCAAATCGCTCATTGAGGAGACCTCCACAGCAGAGGTTATAGGAGTCGTGATTGTGGATCATGGCTCGAGGAGAGCCGAGTCCAACAATCTGCTCGGTAAGTCCTGCCCCAGGCTAGTCCACCATTGCACCAGAGAGGGAGCTATAGTGAGGCACAAAATTCAAAGAGTACTCTCTAAAAATCTCTATTGGTAGTGTTGTGAAAAGCAGACACCTCAAATCTGGCTGCCACTAATGTGACATCACCCTGTTCACCTGTAGAAGCAAGGCCGCTAGGTGGCAATACGTCTGCAGGTTTCCTCCTTTATGCTTGAGAAAGGGGTTAGCTTATGGGGGGCCTGTCAAGCATGTCCTCTTTGCAGGACCCTGTGGGGCAGGGTACTTAAAAATTGTGGAGGTCAGGTTTATGAATGTGAGAAGGATCAAGGTCAACCTCTGCTGTTCTCCGCAGTCCTCATTCCGAGACAAGGAGGGGGGAGTCTTGCTCTCAATCATATCTCGTAGAAAGGATCTGAAGGCTCTTAGACAGAAATTAGTCGGTGCCCTCAAACTTCTTAGACAAAAGCTTTCCACGGGCCTCAACGTTTTTACTCAAAGGTCTTGGAAGATATAATCTCCTTGAAAAGTACGCGCCTCAATCTGACGTGGGGATGCCCTCGGTCCTGGCTCTGCAGATGCCTTTGTCAGCCTCTACAAGGCCCACACAGGTCGGTCTCTCGTTGAACCGGCACATATGGTAAGGGGCCATTGCCCTTGTTGACATTCTGATGTTTCAATATACTGTCCTCCTATTTTGTTGAGAGCCTCATGGCCCCTGCCTGTCATATCGGAAGTCGCCCTCATCGTGACAGAGTTGGGTTGTTGCTTTCGAAGTGTCCGACTTGCTTTGGAAAGGGAATTGCAGACTATCGACCCTCATTTCTTGAATCTCGTTCAAGAGCATCAAGGGGAAAGATGTAGAAGATTCATCACAGCCGTGCTGCCACAGCACTTGAGACACCGTTCACAGCGGTCAGTTTCACCATCAAAAGGACAGTCAAAATTACACGCTTGGCGCAGGCTCACTTCTCCACTCGTAGCAGACAGTCTCTGCAACTGCTTCTGAAGCACCGCCCACTGACCGATTGCAGGAAATTGCACAGCCGTCAATAGCGGACGCGTTTGACAAAGTGGTGGAGCGAGGAGCGAATGTCGTTGTTGTCAGCCCGTACTTCCTCTCCCCCGGGCGACACTGGTTTCAGGTCAGGCTGGCTTGACGTTCCTGGCTTATTATCCATTGTGCTTTGGCAGGTGGCTTCGAACGACTCGGACCCTCTCAGGTGGCTTGAATGATTTGAATCTTTTTGCCGGCTCTAGTTTTGCACGAGAATCCTGAGATTGATTCAAGACGTGTCGCGAAGTGCGGGGGGACTCTTGCCTAAACAACGGTTGACTTTCATGAAGGCCTCTGAAGCTGCTGGGTTGGTGCGATGAAAACTGGCTGTTCTCGAACCCGCGTATCTCTTCATACACCTAGAGTCGTTTTCAGTCATGTCTGCTGTTGACAGGTGGCCTTGGCAAAGCTCGCGCGGACTCCAGCTTTGAAACCAGAATTCCGTCTGCTCATGTACCATACTTGCTTCAGTCTGTCACCGCTCCTATCTTGCCGCTTGAAACCCCAGATATCTGTCTCAGGCAGATCAAAACACCTGCCAGTTGCTAAAACAAACGCTGCTCACCTGATTTCACCGCAGGATATTCCAGAATTGGCAGCGGAAGCAAGTGAGAAGCATCCCGGAATCAAATACCTGGTTACCGCGCCAATCGGCTTGCATCCACTGATGGCGGTATGCTCCCTAACTCCCACTTTCCGTATGCTCCAAGCGCATCACAAGTGTGGGAAAACGAACAGTTGTGCATATGCTAAGTGTTGGTTCTGCAATGTCGTCCAAGACGGGAATGCTGATGAGTTAAATGTCAACTTTGCAGTCCATTTTCCTTGACAGAATGTCCTGTTGACTGGAATCTCAAATACATTGCCTCAGATCCTTGAGACTTCTTAAGTGCTGCCCTCATCGCCATGCTGTGCATCCTTCGTTAGAGCTGGTCGTACAATCTGCAAGACCAGTCGCCGTTCTGAGCCCACCACTTCCAATCTGGTGTCCTGCAGGACATCATCGAGGACCGCATTCAGCACTGCCTGCAACGCTCAGCTGGGAAAGCAGACGAATGTGATGTCTGTATAGGAACTGGTCGCTGTAAAATAGTCACTTCATAATGTAAAGTTTGTATGTAAACAGCCACCCCCCCGAGCTCGATCTGGCTCGTTGCTCCTCCACCAATCACTTTTTCATTTGACGGCGGGTCCGGGTCGACGCACCACGTTGATTTGCAGTGTCCTTGCATCACAAATATCTGAAATTTTGGAAGACCAAAAAGTTCATATGGCAGACATGATCTCGGACAATCTGCTCTCGAATCGACGAGCCGGTCCGTTCAATTGCATGGGTTAGTACATGGCATTGGAACGATCCTATCCTGCATGTAAGAAGCGTAAACAACCATTCTCACTTAAACTTAATTGATCCGAGTCCGACGAGCTTCAAAAGTAGGTCCGGCCCAGAATCATCCGCTCACAGATTCTTGCATGTGCGCCTGCCTGTATACGTACTGGCGCGCTAAGCCGGGCTTCATACAGCATTTACAATTAAAGGGCCGGCAGGCTACATACTCTGGACTCTGGCATGCATGATTATCTTGCCGCGCTGCGCATGGCCGGTCGCATCATGCAATATGATATTGCACCATCCAACATTCAATTTCCAGAAACTCTGATGCAAACATATGTCTCGAAGCCAGCCTCGCCGTGCACGACAATCTGCTTTGCAAATCAGTCATCTTGGCGAGCCCTGCTACATGCGGTCAATTCAGTTCTGAGACGATCGACGCTGTGCTGTCATGTGGCGTCGAGCTTATCTTTCAAGTTTGAGAATAAAGCTGTAACACAAGCGCTTCGTGACATCATTTTGAAATACAGTGTCGCGCCATGGCTGCATGGCATTCCAATGATGCGAGCCTCCGGCATGTAGGTTCTGATGGACGATATCAGAAACCTGCCAGAAGTCTTTATATCTGCCGTGATACAAGCAAAGTGTTGCAACAAGTACCGTAGTACAGTGAAACAGTCATTTGTTGATTTAAAGTCAGCCGCAGCCCGTTCGGTGCGTCCTGTGATGTTGTCGTCTCATAACTAAGCGCTTTGGGCAACGTTTCTGCAGCTCTGAAATCAAAATACTTTCGCAAAAATAATTTGATCAAGATACGACGTAGGATACTTTCAATCGGCGCGTTTTACATGCTCAAGCACAGGAGTCCTCTGGGGATTTGCTATCCTTATGCAACGAGGCCGGGATGAGAATCTGCCAAGGCGTCCAAGACAAAGCGTCAGAATATCCACTCAAATTGCTTGTACAAAAACATTCAGGGGCTTGAATCAACAAAATCTCCCAAGGTATGCTGAATCTACGCAATCTTGTGTTGAGCGTCAAATCTTCTAGCAAACAAGCTAATTCGAGACTACTCGTACTCGTACTCGTCCTCGTCTTCCTCTTCCTCTTCGTCCGAAAAGTCATGGTATGGGCGTTCCAACAGCCCAAAAAGGTGGCCAGAGCTGCAAATCCAGAAGTCCGCCGACACGTCCAGGGGCACATTTACCCCTTCTTTTGGAAACCGTCGCAGTGGGGAAGGACAGAAAGGGCAGGTGCTGAAGCCTTCGTGAGTAGGTATCTGTTCTGCTGTCTCCGCAAATTCAAGACCAGATAGCTCGGTCAACTCCTCCACTGATCCAACCAGCCCTCGAAATACAATCCTGTCGACTCCCCATCGCCTCGTGTAGCACTCGTCATGCTTGCAGTACAACATGAGGAACTTCTTGCTCTTCTTTGCGGCTGGGAGGATCTCTCGCCTGTATACGTTCGAGGCAGGTCTCAAAGGTCCCTCAGGGCTTAGATGCTGTTGGATGGGTTTCAGCTCGCATAGCTTCATGTTCTCCGTTTCCTGGCAGTACCCCGGACACCACGTCAGCAGCTTCGCAAAGCTAGCCCAGCCAGCACTCCCCAGGCTCTTCGCCCCTTCAGAAGCTGCCACCTTCTCAGAGAGCTTTGGAGCAAATGTCCTGCATGCGGACTCCCATGCAGCGCCCTCCTTCACAATCCGCGCATAGCGACGCGAAACGCATGCAAACTTCGCAAGCCTCTGGAAGCCATTGAAAGGACGATATCTCTTCGGAGCGGGTCCAATCAGCTTCTCCAATATCAGAGAGGTCAGGTTGTCATCCAGATCTTCGAAGCAGCGCTTCTCCATTTTGGATTGACCTCCAGTGAAACTCTTCATCAGATCAAAGGCCGGTAAGTGTTACCTAATCAGGATTCTGACTTCTGCTGCGCTGCTTATAATGATATCTTCCTTTGATGGTAAGGTCCTTTTAGCGCACATGCTCTATTTGAAATGCCTTTGAAAACGTCAATGTCCTCATTTCTACTAGACATATGTTGTTTTCGACGGAGTGTTCGATAGCTCCCAAAAAGGGGAGGAGTATGGTATATCGTCGATTCCGCAAGCTTTGCACCTAAAGATTCACAGACTGGCCGTGGAACATCTTGGGTGCGAGTTGAAGGTGCCCGAGACAGTAAGCGTAGGCCTCACTCTGAGTCAGCAGAGGCATCACCTAGCCTCCGCCGACCTGTTGATCAGATCGAAGCAAAACAAGGAACTGCTGGAATCTGGAGACGGTTCAACGTGACATTGGACCTGCCGCACTTCGATTTGGGGAGCTTCCTCAATCCGCTGACGTCATGTGGTCAAAGCGACGCAACCTCGGATCATTCGGTTGTAGTCATTGAGCTGATTTTGTGCATGGATCGAGGCAAAATTCTTGGCGCTCTAATGCTAAGCTGGGTGCGGTCTGACACTGCAGCGGCAAACCTACAAGTGCCAATCGATGCGGCGGGTTGAAGCAAGTGAGGCGGAATCATAATGGCCCTGCTAAAGCTGATGTCTGCATGCTCCAAGTCATTCAGGACAGGGAGCCCTTTGCGGACCTAAGAGCAGTGTAGCAGCGCGGCCGCTGCTGCTCGACCATATTGATTCGCATGTGAATGCGCGCTCTCGAGAAAGGAGCTAGGAGCTGTTCCCAGATCTGCATGCGGCAGAATCCACTTTCGAGTTTTTCGAGATTGCCAACGTCTTTGGAACTATCCTGCTGAAACGGGGCTTTTTAGCAGTGTACACGCCGGGAAGTCACGTCAACGAGCTCCACTTGCTTTTCTCCGACTTCGCAAGGCGCTAGGAAAGCCTGCTGGTTTGCCGCCTTTGGACAAGAGACCGTGCAGGAGCGTATAGATCAGCAACTGCCTATCTTCTCATTCTACAAGTCCGGGATCAGATCAGGACCAAAACAGAGATTTCTGGCTTGGTGCCGCCGCTTACATGGAGGGGTACACACGTTTGTCTTCGCTGGCGGTAATCTGCTTGTGGAGCCAGCTGAAGGGCAGCTTGAAGCAGCCGTCCCCATTGCCATCACGAAGGTGGGCCAAGCTTCTCTGATTTTATGATCCTTTCAACGGCACTCATCATTCAGGAAGCGCGCAACATTTGTTTGAAAGGACGAGCTGAGGACCTATACATGCATGTGCTGTCATAAATGAATCAGATGGAGACCTCTAAATAGTTTGCTCTGCTCGGAATTTTAATCTGCAGCCATTTTAACAACTTCACAAAGAAAGTCACGCGGGTCCGAACCGTCTGTGAAGGAACACCTGATGAGAGAGGAGTCATACTGGAGCGTAAGAGGCCATGAGAAAGTCTAGAGCTGCAAAGTGACCGATGTGCATCACATGATTGATGCTCTCCTTGAGGAATGCAAGTTTGGGAATTTTTCGAAGATAATAGATTCCGTGGCCATGCCCATTCAGCAGCCTGTTTGTCTTTGGATCACTTGGCGGCCTTCGGCATTTCTCCTCTTGTTGAAGGATCAAGCAAAGCCTGACATATCGAAGTTGAGGTCCGAACCAAGCCGACATTCAATAAGACAGTCTATCTCGTTTGCTGCAAGCTCATCCGTACTCTTCAAATAAAAACCTCCGTAAAACGCTCAGTCGAATTGCACTAGGTGGATCAGCCGTATGATTTGCAGGTAATATCCGTGGATGACTGAATCGTGGACGTTTGACTTCTTGTAATTCGTGCTGAGGATGCTGACTCTCTCCTTGCTGTATGATCTTCTTGTTGTGTAATCTTTTCTTCTGGTTTAAGAAACCCAGGGTCTTCTCTATAAGACCAGAAGCTCAAGAACGGATTCGCTTGTTCCACTGTGACAGATTCCAACGCCGCGAAGTGTAAAATCAGAAGCTCTGCAAACGTCGTATTTCATTTTTGCAGTGGCCCAGCAGCAGCATAAAGTATCTGCTCGTAGCTTCTACAATCGAACAGGTAAACCCGTACGCTCGTTGGCTTTTGTCCCTTTTAACCAAGATGCTTTCACACTTTGGGCGCAATGGACCGAAACATGTTACATGAATTGATCCCCGCTTCAGCAGAACAGTCTTGTCGTAGTCTCTCACATAATTTCTATAAAGCGTGAGGGTGTTAAGCTTAGAGAACCAACGTCGATATTCACTGAATATCTAGCGGGGACGTTGAGGCCGTCTGTTCGTTCGCCGAAAACTTTGCGTGACTGAACAGCATTGGCTTCTACCTCGAAGGACTTCGACCTTGAATCAATCTTAGTAGAGTTGTGAGAGGACAAGTCAAAGAAAGCCATCAGGATTCAAGGACGCATTGCAATTGTGTTCCTTTCCCGTTTCCTCGCGTCGTTTTGATACATCTAGTCGCTTCGCTCACGTGTAGGGAGCGGTCAGCGAAAGGCCTTCGTCTTTTTATCGTTTCTTTGGACTCGATTTCACAGGGGACTTTCTGAAAGGTACTCATCCTTGGGTCCTGAGCTCTTTTCGTCGCCTCGATGCTTCTCTTACCGTCCGAGAATCTGGTATAAGACGACAGAGGAAATGGTCGGTCGAAGGACAATATGCGCAGTCGGTCGAAGGACAATATGCGCAGGGAGGAAGCTCCTGAACATTGACTATATCTGAGATCAAAACGTCCAAAGCCGTCTCGCCTTTGAGGATGGGCAGGTCAACAGGAACGTCGAATTGTCTCCCCATTGCCTCTCTGAATGGATCGGTCAGAAGTTACCTTTCTTTCTTCGTTCGCGCAGAGTCGGGTCACCGTAAGTGCGGTGGTACGAGTGTGAGGCATGGATCACCCGGTCGTGAGGGAGAACAAGGAAGCATTGAGAAGGGCGGAGGAACGTCTGGTAGAGCGCAGGACTACGAGAAGGAGATGATTGCGGCGGCGGTCGTTCCTGCCTGGCTTGCGGCCGCTTACTTCGGCTCTTTTGGCTCATGACATTTACACCGCTTGGACCGGCAGCCAGCCATGCGACCGAATTGCAACATACCCTGAGATGTGGATCATGAAGGGAGTGCTGATGTTCCTGGTCTTTGGAAGCGTGCAGATGCTTCAAGCGTGCCACCTCAATAGTCGAATCTACTGGCTTGAGCGGCGGGCCGAGGCTGAGGATGAGTTCAGGGCCCTGCAAAGTTACTGCACGTTTTACCTAGCGTACCTGACCGAGGCTGAGCTCGATAAGGTCGAGTACAGACTGTGTGTGTTCGATCCTCTGATTGTCGAGAAGAGGATTGAATTGCCGGCTTCAACGACAGGCATGGATCAGGCAAACCCGAGCATAAGCTGGGAGGCGATGCACCGGCTGGATATCGAAGATAATCTTGTACCGTTTCCAGTTTATGCCGGGGAACGTCTGCAGAAGGAGGCTGCAAAAAAGGAAAAGCTAGAGTTGCGGTTCAAGTATAGAGTCAGGTTTGTGATCTACCTTCTTGTGACAATAGCGCTAGCAATGAATCTACAAGTGGTTTTCTGCTATCTTTGAAGCAATCGACAGCAGTTGCCCTTACTTCACCAACATACTCTAGCTCTTTGTAGTACAACCATAGCGCCAGGCTGTACGTGTACTTTCACAGCCCCAGGCCGCTTACGAAGGAGGTCGCGCAGGTACGTTCATAGCCTACCAGCCGTGCAGTCAAAGTATGACAGGCTCTAAGCAGATTGCATCGAAGAATAACCGATGAATCAAAATCTTCTCCGTGTTGCTTCATTGCGTAAGCTTTGGCAAGGATCACCGAAATTTCGCTGATTACTTGGTCATATCATAATCCAAGGCGAGTGAGTGAGAAGGGTTCTCCTTTATCAATCTTGATTGACGGGCATGTTAGTGAAACGGATTGTGTATCATCGACGATTCTTCAACCTTCTGCCATCTTGGCCGGAGATAGGCCACACAATGGCCGCTTTCATTCCCGTCCAGCAAGCTATGTCAATGGTTCATTTGATTTCCGAAAGTTTAAGTACATACGTTTTTGATGCTCGATCGAGCTACTCAATGAAGCTCGTGAGAATGTTGATGTAGAGCTGAAGGATGGGCATCTGATATCATGTCGCCGGACCGGCGCCGATGCAGGCTTGCTGCAGTTGCGCGTCACGTGATACGCCTGATCCAATTTTCACGAACTCAATGTACAATATCATGTCATCATGAGACAGCAATTCATGAGACGTACTAGCAACAGAAGGACGTATCTATCGTACTTTTGGGGCCGCCCAGGGGGCGCTGCCGGATCCTGCTGGACTACTTCGATACCTTGCGCCGGGCGCTCGTCGGGGCCCTGACGCGAGAACAGGGGGTTTCCGAAACATCTGAGCTTGGTGAGCT